CAAGTAGCAACCTCCTAGCTTTGAAGGAGGCACAGATCCACTAGCAGCAGAGGAGTGGATTTGCAAGCAGGAACGAATTTTCGAACTTATTGAGTGCCCGGAAACTCGGAAGGTACTTTGTGCAACCTTTATGCTGGATAAAGGAGCAAGACATTGGTGGGAAATGACCAACAGGTCCAGATCAGCTGGACAAAGCTGGATGTGGAATGAATTTAAGGAATTATTCCTGCAGAAATACTTCCCCACCAACATTCGAAACCAGAAGGAAGCAGAATTCCTAACATTCAGACAAGGAAACTTAACACTGGCAGAATATGAGAGGAAGTTTGAAGAATTATCTCGCTATGCCCCACTCTTAGTCAACACGGAGGAAAAGAAAGCTAGACGATTTGAACAAGGTTTGCGTGATGACCTTCGACAGGCAGTGGTCACCTTTGAGTTGGGTACATANAACTATCTCACTATGCCCCACTCTTAATTAACACGGAGGAAAAGAAAGCTAGACGATTTGAACAAGGTTTGCGTGATGACCTTCGACAAGCGGGTGTCACCTTTGAGTTGGGTACATACCACCAAGTGCTAGCAAAGGCACAGTTAGCCAATTTCAAAGAAACCTCCAACAGCGCTTACAGACAGCAGCAGCCTACACTACCGGAGAAGCGTAAGTGGCAAGACAACAAGGGCAAGGAAATGCATGGATTCGTAAAAAGGAGCAATGGGGGGTCAACTTCGAGCAATTATCAGGAGTATCCCATATGTGGAAAATGCCAGCGACGCCATGCAGGGACATGCCGTGTGGGGACTAATACGTGCTACAACTGTGGTGAGTCAGGTCACATAGTGAAATTCTGCCCCAAGAAGCAGAAACCACAGCAGCAGCAGCAGAAACCAGGGAACCCACCTAGAGGACAAGCAAGAGTTTATGCTCTTACTGAACATGAAGAGGATCAGGACCGAAATGTCTTGGCAGGTAACATCCTTATATCCGGCACACCTGCTTATGTTTTGATAGATTCTGGCTCTACTCATTCCTTCATATCTCCAAAATTTATGCGTACACTAAATGTTATTGGAGAACGTACACCCACACCTTTAGAGGTTGCCCTTCCATCGGGAGATGTACTTGGTGCAGACCACATTGTAAGAACGGCTGAGGTAGAAATTAATGGTAGAACCTTGAAAACGAACTTGTACGTTTTGGATATACATGAATTTGACATGATCCTAGGGATGGATTGGCTTTCTAAAAATCATGCAACAATTTTATGCTTTGAGAGGGAAGTGGTCTTTAAATGTCCTGAAGGGGTAGAACTTCGCCTTTCAGTAACCAAGATAAAGTCTATACCACGGGTTGTTTCTGCATTGAAAGCCCAAAGACTTTTAAGGTCAAAGGAGTGTATAGGGTTCTTGATGTCAGTCCTAGCGAAGGAAGATGAAGCACTGACGGTGGGAGATGTAAAGGTAGTACGGGAATTCCCAGAAGTTTTTCCCGAGGAGTTGCCTGGGATGCCTCCTGAAAGGGAAATAGAGTTCACTATTGATTTAACCCCTGGCTCCGCACCTATTTCCAAAGCTCCTTACAGGATGGCTCCAAAGGAGTTACAAGAGTTGAAATCACAAATTGAAGAATTGTTGGAAAGGGGATTCATCCAACCCAGTGTATCCCCATGGGGAGCACCAGTGTTATTCGTCAAGAAGAAAGACGGTTCGATGCGAATGTGCATTGACTACAGAGAATTGAATAAAATCACTATTAAGAATAAGTATCCACTTCCCAGGATTGAGGACTTGTTTGACCAATTACGTGGTGCAATGGTATTTTCAAAAGTCGATCTGAGGTCGGGATACCACCAGTTGAGAATTAAATCTACTGATATCCCAAAGACAGCCTTTAGAACTCGGTATGGTCACTACGAGTTCTTAGTGATGCCATTTGGCCTAACGAATGCTCCTGGAGTGTTTATGGACTTGATGAATCGTATCTTTCATGAACACTTAGACAAATTTGTCATTGTATTCATTGATGATATTTTGATCTATTCAAAGACTGAAGAGGAACATGAGGAACATTTGAAGATTGTA